TAAAATTTTATTTTCTAAATATAACATGAAATTTTAATTATTTTTTAAAATCAAATTATCATCCATTATTCTCTAAAAAAAACATTCATTAAATTTATTCACACAATTTCGAATGCCCTCTTAATATTTTAAATGTCAATATGTTGATATATTTTTTAAAATTATTATTATTACACAGCATAAGGAAAATTCCAAAAATAAATCAATTAAAAGCAAAAACAACTTCATTTTTTTTTTTTATGAACAAAGCAAAACTAACTCGTCTGTTTCATTAAAATGAAATTGCATTTTCAAACTTTTACTACCTTTCTAATTACAAGCATCATTGGCTACTGAAAACTGTTTGGCTACGCGAGCAGCGGCCTCCTCCGAAACCAACGCCTGAATCATCAGAGTCTTCACCTCCCAAGAGGAGTAAGAAAACCGCTTTCTCGCGTACGAGTTGAGCAGCGCCGCGCTTGCTTGCCGCATCAATCTCCCAAACGCGTCCCCCTCGTCGCTCCTCGCTGTCGTCGATTCCAGCAACGTCATGTCAGATCTGTACCGTTCTGTCGCTCTTGATCCGAACACTTTTGACACCGTCGACGTCGGCGGCAGCATCCTCGGCCATGCCTCTCTCCTGCTACTCCAGAACCTGTCATTATTTCACACCGTCATCAACTCAACAGAGTTAGCATCAGTACTCAGGGTCGTCCCCTGCATTTTAGTTAATTAGTTTCTAATTTTCTATGGAGATCAGGATGAAAATCATACTCGGGAGTGCATCTTCCTCTGCTACCTCTAGTGTAGAGAAAGCCAGGGCTTCGCTTCAGAGCGGTTGTGGTCGCCGTCACTGATATGGTGGCTGCGAAGTGAATCAGGAGGAGGAGGAGGAGAAGAATGAGAGGATTCATCAGAGAAGAACTCTGCATCTTCTTACCTTGCTCGAGGGACTAAGTATTCATTTGGGAATAGTATCTGACTGCACGCTACGATCTAATCTCGGTAAACTGAGATTTGAAAAAGCAGTA